TTTGATAAATCCGGCCCAATGTCTGCAGAATCTCACAAGATCATTCTAACATCCCCTGGTTTTTTGACAATGTCATGCAAAATATTGAATTTAGTGGGTTCACTGGTGAATTTAGTGACACAAAGGTCCAAAAAGGGTAATTTCCAATTTTGTTCTTGAAGACATGTTTAACTTTGTCTAAAAAACGTAGCTTTATTGAGTTAAGGAGGGGCAATTATACATATTTGAATTCACATGAGGATTAGACTACCTGAAACGATCAGGCATCATTTCTGTCGTGGGATGTCTATGAATGATATTCCAGCAGTTTGTTTGTGGTTTCTTTTCCCTTAACTTCAAATTTCAAAAATTATTTTGTTAAATATACTATACTATATATATGATAGTGGAGGTTTTTTACACACTTTTGAAAACATCAGCCCTATCCACAGAAATGCACATTCACAACTCTGTACCCGCTCCTTAGAGGGAACGCCTATTAAACGCGTGCAAGAGCATGCACAAAACAACATCTCCTCATGCATGCTCTGTTTGAAAGTTTCTGTGTGCATCGCTCATTCAAGCTTACTTTCCAATAGAAGATTTGCTAACTTTCCACTTTATCCCACTCACCAGTAAGTGAAAATGGGGACGAGTACGTACGACATCCTCCCCTATACCTATAAGATATAACTGAATTCCTTTCTAAATAACTTTTCTAAATAAATCAAACAATTTTAAATAAATACAAAACCAAATGTCGAATGAAACCTTATAAATCAACATAACCTGTCTGGTTCTTAGGGTCCTGTTTTCATGACTTACCTTGAGCACGTCCGCCTGAGTTGATCTGCAGTTGGTGGAGTTTGTCACATCTGTAACTGTTCCATCAGCCTCAACAGCAACGGTTTTCACAGGAACTGACACCCTTTTCCCCGTCAACATTGCAGTATTCAAAATATCTGAGGTCTAGGCAGAAAGAGGAGCATCTTAAGTAAAGGTTAGTTGTAGTTCATGCTCTGCATAATGTACTATTCATATGAAAAACGACAAATCATTGAAGCGAGTATTTAAAAAAAAAAACATTTTACTTTTATTTAGCAGTTTAGAAATCATGAGCTCTTTTGCATAGCTTAATATCAAAACATGGCTTGTCATTCACACACACATTGGACTTGGGTCATAAAAAAGAAAATATATCTCTATGTACCAACCCAAACATTTACTTCATTTTTTTCCTACTTTTTTCCCTCATTAATTTTATTTCACAGTGAGACAACACAAGTGAATAAAGGAAATTTTTCATGCAGTAACCAGTCCAATCTATCATTTAAAGAAAACCTTTGCTGGGACAGGATTAATGTTGAAGGGATTTAATGATGTGATATTCAGATTTGGCATCACTTAATTAAATATGCACTGATAAAGTTTTCAAATAATGATGTCCAAGATAAATACATCTCAAAAGCAAAAACTCAAGGCTTTGAAATATGTAAAGGATTTTGATCTTCTTTGGTGACATATGGAAGCAACAGCGGCAAACAGCTTTGGAGGAGAAGCTGCAAAACTGAAGAAAAAAAAGAAAACTGACTAAAGAGGAGGTATCATTACCCTAAACTTGGTGACAGAGCATAGAGTAGCATAACCAAGAGCTAGAAATGCTTCAGAGAATTTGTTTGCTTTTCTTAACTGGACAACACTCCATATTAAAGAACAGACCATCTAAACAGCACCCTACTCATAAACAGACTGTTGACTCAGGCTGGGGGATTTTCAACTTTCCAACATCTTAAATGGCAAATTAATTACCTGCTGAGACAGATATAATATATAATATTTTACAGAACACACACACACACACACACATATATATATATATATATATATATATATATATGTGTGTGTGTGTGTGTGTGTGTGTGTCTCAAGTTTCAGTTGTTAGATTTAGTAAGATATATTTCATGTTTGTTCATGTTGAACTTTGATTGTGAAAGATACACATTCTTAATGTGTCATGCTGGAATAAGGGAGAGAGGGAACATCTTTGCCCGTATTTGTAAATCAAGCCTGGTGTGAAGAATAGATATCTGCCACTTTTTACAAGCGCATTCCTCTTGTAGACAGAACCTAAATTAGGACCCATCTCTCATCGGGGGTTTTCATATTCCACAAACACTGCCTTCCGAAACTAACTATGGAGAATGCATCATCATTTTTTATCTGCTTTATTCTACTCAGGAGGATGGACGCAACTTCAGCTTTCTTCAAACAGGAAGATGCAACATAAACTTCTTACAGGCTGATAGGTAATCACAGAACAAACATTTCAAGTATCTGTACCTAGGTGGGATGTGAGGTATTTAATAGTTAGAAAATTAAAAAAAAAGAACAATTATATTTATCAAAGAAAAGATGAAAAGAAGAAATTCCCCTAACCCTTTGACTTTGTGCATTCTGATTATTTACTTAAAACTTGTCAGAAAGACTTTTTAGAAAAGCAAAAATTTGATATTAATAAATATAATTGCCTTTAGTCTCTTTTGCCCTTTAAAGTAAGATATGAAAACTAATTAAAATGCAAATTACTGAGTGAAAAGACTGCAAGTGAGTGAATATTTCTGCAAGAAGGCACGGTATTTTGTTTTTTCCTCTCTAAGTAAGTCTGTTTACAGAAGACTGAATACACATTTTGCTGTAAAAATCAAAATAAGATCCTGTAGGCATTATCCCATTTATACATGTGTAGAACTGTTTCCTTTCCCTTCAGTATATTGCGTTTACTGAAGTTGAAATACACGTATTGGATTATAAAATGATTACCGTAAATTTGATATTACAAGATTGCTGACTGTCTGAACAATTGTGTGATAACAAAGACAGAATCCAAAAGAATTTAATCAAATTAGGTTGGCTTAAGTTGTGCTCCAGCACCAGCCACCTTCTACCCGCCCAAAACCAAATCCCTCATATATTTAACTCTACACTCATCTAGCTAGTTTCGCAATGAATGTTAAAGGAAGAGATACTCAACTGCACCCATCCAGCAATCAAATAAAAACTTTCCATTCTCCTCTTAAAAAAGCAGCAACACTTTATTAATTGGGAATTCATTCAATTAAAGGTACAATGTGTGATAATTACAGGGATTCACAGACATCAATGTAATATATAATCTATACGTAAGTTATTTAACTTGACCTATAAATTGAAAGTCTCAATTTTTCTGTTTGCCTTGTCTTAAAGATTGCTAATTATAATTACATAGGAGTCTGATCAAATTTGTGGATGAAGACATCTTTTGCACTATGGCAACACAGTTGACAAACTAATGACTGTATATCACCATTGCATTGTGACTGTGGCAAGTTAGGCCTATATACAACCTTACACAGACTAATAAAATAGCATTTATATAGGTACAACTAGCAACTGCCCAGTTATAATGAAGATGGCCAATTTCAAGCGCCGGTTGTTGCTTTCTTGTTTTGTTTTTTTCTGAGTGGTCTCACATCTATCTCCTGCCCTCAGTACAGTACATGTTTGTCTTTGTCAGAGTGCCTAAAACAGGCGGAATAATCACCTGGACAACCGAGGTAAGGTTAAATGGCGTTCCTTAGCTCCGGCAGGGGCAGAGGGGAAACCCACGGAGCAAAAATTGGTTGAAAAGCCATTGAAAAGATCACCCCATCAACTACAGTAAAGTGGGACAAGATCAGACCGACAAAACAAAGCCCAATTTTCAACCGTCATTTTTATGAATAAATAAATACTATGAGGGACCGACCAGATCTTGCATAAGAACCAATGTCTAAATGACGTCTGGCATTGGAGATCAGTTCGAGAACAGCAGCTGAAAAACCTACAGAACCGGGACAAGCCAGCCAACTATGCCGCCTTCTGGAGCTGAGGAACCACAGTGATAGAGGCGGCAGCTTTCCGCTGCTAGCTCAAGAAAAGTCCTGAGGAGCACAGTGGCAGCTCAGAGGGGCAACAGCACTGATGGCCCAGAAAAGGTTACAGTTGGCCCGGGCTAGTTAGAGGCTGGCTGCGGAGGATCGAAGCAGAATCGTGGAGGATCAGGTTAGTCAGAGAGAGGTCCAAAGGCAGGTTAGAGTGGCTGTGGCTTACCATGAGGAGGACAGCGTAACATCAAAGCAGCCTGCTAGGGATACAGAGCAGGAAGATACATGGGCAGGCCAAGGCTAGGCTCTAGAGTCTAACTGCTAGGGATAGAAGGAGGACTGCTGAGGTTCAGATTAGCCTGCAGGTGGAGTGTATGAGAGAAGACATCAGCTGGTTCGTGTCTGTGCTGGAAGTAGGTACAAAACAGTCCTGCTTGGGATAATTTACAAGGCTTCTTTAAATCCACTCTCAAATCTATTATGAGCATTCTCCGCTTTACCCATTGTCAAGATTATTTTCTCTGTCTTTCATTTTGATTCAAAAAGGCTTGTGTCTGCTATCTTTTTCACAAGCAGTGGTCAATTCATTATACTTTATCATCTCCTAACTTGTATATTTGTCAGTGTACTTTAGATAACAATATTGATTAATAAGATGTACAGACAAAAAAACAACAATTAATAAACATTTGAGGACCGTTCCAAACAAAAATTCAAAATAAGAGTCAAACCAATCGAATATCAGCAATGAGCAATCTTTTCAGTGGAGCTTCTTAAGATGCAGATATTTCAATGCATATATTTTGATACTAAGAAACAAACACAATCTCTGCTAAAAGCACACTTTTAGTATTTATTAAGGGGTTCCTGAATCTGCCCAGGAGCTGCTGAAAAAAAGTAATCTGAGTGGTTTTATTTACCGTAATTATATCCCTACACCTCCTCCCTGGTATAGAAAGTTCTGGACAGTGTTCCGCAGATGTTTCCCAGACAGTGTCACATTTTGAACTCTGCTGGCTTGACAGCTGCTGACCGCAATTCCAAAAGGACATGTTCTGGTTCAGATCAACGACACTGACCCAAACATAAGCCAAGGGATCAGAGGTAGCAGAAAATCAGAAAGCAATCACTCGACTCATGATGATGCCAGTAGCATGCTGAGAGAAATTCAGACACTGTTTTCTGTAAACTCAGAGTAATTTGGGGTTTCAAGTTTCTGTCTGCTAATAAACTTTCAATTTTCCCAAGAAGAATTTGATTTAAATTATGTATAGCTGAAATATGTATGTTAAACATTAGATTTGTTGTACCTTCAGCAAATAAGGCTAAGGCAAAAATCTCTTCAGCTGCTGTACAGGTAACTGAGACTAATGCTAAAGTAACACGAAATAAATATCTAACCAAAAGGTCAGGGTAATAAAACTATGGCATAAAAGCTGCAAAGCAAATACCTGTTTCAGCAGAAATTAAAGAAAAGAGCAGAGGTTGCCGTTTAAGCTGAATCTAAATGATGATTGTAAAAATCTTTTTTTTTATTTTTATTTTTTTTTTTATAAGCCTGAAACAGACTTGATCCTGCAGTGAAATTAGATTAAAACAACTTCTACACAGAGGTTAGATTCTTTCTTAACTGCTGCAACATGAAACGGATTTTGCTTAAGGACAAAAAATATTAATCTTGAAATAAACTGAGATAATTTTTTGTCTCTTTTTGTTTGTTTGTTTGCTTTATCATCCAGACAAGCATGTGATTAACAAGGCAAACAGAAGAGAGGGCAAAATAAAATCTAAAGAAAATGGTTGCTTTCTTCTTTTCTGCATTTCCTTTATCTGGTGTTTTCATATAACATCTGCATAATGTTAGAAAAGTTTTAGATAATAGAATTTGGAAAGTTTAAGATCAAACATATGCTTGTAATTCTCAACATTTAGGTGTTTTCACTATATTCAGGCAGCTTTTCTGACATTTTATCACTGCACATTTTAGATAGAGCAAGGCATAAACACAGAAACCCTGACATCAGCAATTTGGGAATTTATCAGATCGGTGCACTCCCCATGCAGTAAGTGCTAACAACTCACTTTTTTGCAAAAGTTTAAATTGTGAGCAGGCATCTGTAAAAGTTATTTTCATTGTTGATAGGGGGGTGCAATGAAAAATAAGACAAAATCATACAAGCAAATATCAGAGTTAAGGTCTTGAGTTTGTTGTGTAGGGGTCTGGAGTCATGTGGTACTTCTTCAAGTGTTTTGAATATAATGAGCATAAAAATTCAGCTTTCACAGCTTTGCTATGTTTTGTGTTTTTTCATAAAATGTGTTCATTCATTCTTTTGTTTTATTTTAGAGCGGAACATTTTGTGTTTTGTTTTGTTTTTTTCATGAAAATATTCATTTGAAATAATCAATTGAATCTCTCTGTAAAAAAAAACATTGACTTTCTGTACTCTAAAACCTGCACTATGAATAGCTCTTTAACAATTACAAAAATTGTTTGAATCATAGTATAGTACATAAGATTTGATATCTATTTTCTAATGGATATATAGGTCTTTTTAGGGCACTGGTTATTCTGTCTCTTATTGGTCTTTTTTATAAAGCCTACCAAAGAATGCTTTATGATTCAGTTCGAGCAGCCTTAGGAATGTTTTGTTCCTTTTTTAATAAAAGGACATTTTAAAGGCATATTTTTTTATCTACATTACGTAGTCTGCCATAACACCATGTGTTTTTTTGAATCAAACTAATTATATTAACCAGAAGGTTAACTTACCGTATTACCATAAAGTCTTAGAAGGGAAGGATGGGTGTTTGTATGTTGAAATTTCTTAATGGATTCTGGAGACACATGATATAGTTTTGTGTGCACTATTGTGACAATAAATGTCAATAAATCTGATTTATTTGAGTTGATTTGATTTGAAATGGCTAGTTTGGGAATAAATGTGCTTATAAATTGGTGAAAGGGCAAAGTGACCAAGGGCCATTTTGTACCTCTAGATATATGTTACCAGACATAAGGCAAATATAAATATTTTCTGCTGCGTTAAAGAACAGAGTTGGCCTCTACTTATGCTATAGCAGGAGACTTGACCAAAGCACTTTACACTACATTTAGTCTTTCACAAACACACTTATGGTGACAGGCTACACTGTAGCCACAGCTGCCCAGGGGCTAACCCTTCGACTGCAGGGGAAACTCCCACAGCCGACGCCACTGCATAAAAAATTTGAAAAGGGCAAAACTGGCATGACCAGCTTTGAAACTTGTGAATCATACATTAGCAACTAAACTTAGATTAATTCATCTGTGCCGAAGATGCAAACTCCTCTTAATCCTGTTATTTATTCAATAGAGGTCTTCAAAAGGCAGTTAATCCTCATTGTAGATCTCTTCTCTCCATATACTTGTGTTTATAAGAAGGTAAAGTGAAGCACAAGTTTTCCTGATGTTTTTAAGAATGTAATCCCCTCTCAGCAGTTTTCTTTTCATCTAAAGCATCAGAGGTTTTTCTCTTCAATGCTTTCTCAGTTTTACCACCTTCAGTCTGATAGATGTAGATTCATCTGTTAAGGTGTTGCACTCAAACCTTCAGCTGAACTGATGCAAGTGTGGCTCTTACCATCACCAGAGGTGCCAGTCCAATGAAGTCTCTTGGGGTGGTGTAGATCCGCATTAAGCCAACATCTTTGACATTCCCTGGCAGCTCCAGACGCCAGGAGATGGCCTGACTCTCAATCTGCTCGGAGACAGCTTTTGGCACAAAATCTAGCTGAAAAATCTCCAGAAGACCCCTGTTTTAGACATGAAATGGCAAATGAGAAGATGTGAATCTAAATCTGTTTGACTAAGGTTTAATGCTGCAGAGTCCATGCATTTGATATCAAATGTGTTTTTGGTTTAAAGCCATAAGCCAGTTTCTGGAAAAAAAAAAGGATGCCTTTAATAAAACAAAGGGGTCTAGAATATGTATATTTTTGTAAAAAAGCTATAACCTGTTAAATCATGGTGTTAAAGGGAAAAAAATACCCTTATATTTGTGGGAAAACAACCTGTTGAAATTTCACATAATACACGTGGGTTCACGTTGATTATAAACAGATGGAGAACTAGGGTGTAAGAGTGTGAAGGGAAGATAAGGTGAGCTGTCAGAAGCTTCAGCCAACAATCCTGGTCGAAGGACTGTCAGGGAAATTGTGTTTGATGTTATTTGATGCTTGAGAAGAGTGTAGGCATACCTGCCAGTGAGAAAAGATCAAAAAGAAAATGGTGAATTGAGCTGAGACTCTTTGAAGTGGACCAAAACTTTTCACGGAGCTAAACAATAAGCCTCTGAGTTGTTAAAAAAATCTAATCCAATATAAATCTAACAGTGACTATCTTACAGAGATAGCAGAAGTGAAAACAGCCTCTTTAAAATAAAGATGTAAAAAATAAAAGATGAAAAAAGGGGACATTTGTGGATTTAAAGGAAAACTCAACTTACTTTAAGAGAAAAAGTGAAAAATTATCACTTCGCTGTAATATTGAAAAAAGCAATAATACTTTGTTTTATTGCTCCCTCTAATAATACTTAATTGAAAAGAGGCATCATAAAAGTACATGTCTCAGTAGGTCAGGGACGTTATTTAGGGGGGACACCGGGGGCATGTTCAATGCACTTTTTACTGACCAAAAACAATGTTACGCTACAGTATAAGCAGAAAACAACAGCTCAACCTTAACATGAAGCTGAGGCCTGCTTCCCTGAGTTTAGATGACCCATAAGCTTCTGATTGGCTCTCCATCTTTTCTTGTGCCTCGCTGCAAACATCTGATGCGCCACCTAACCAGGTCAGTGATTAGATGGTCACAGTGCTGAGAGAGTTGAGGAAACAAACACAGAAGATCCACTAGAAAAAATGTTGAACTTATTTACGTGTAAGAGTTATATTAAAAAATACTTGCTTCCCCCCCAGTTCTCAAAGTAAACTTTCGTACATGCAGTAGGTAATGATGTACTGTGTTTCCTGATAGTCCTTAGTGCTTTAATGCTCATTCGAAAAAGTTGCAATCTGCATTAATGCATTAATTTTTTTACAATTGCATTTGGAGTTCTTCATTCGAAATGCAGCAAATGGCTTACAGTCCAAACTTTGAATTACCCTAAATTAAGTGGTGTCTCATGCGATAAAAGGAACTATATAATGAGTTAATATCAAGGTTATCATTAAATTAGGTTCTGGTGTATTGGTTAAAATACCTGCATATAAACAAAAAAAAATTGTAACTGCCACATTTTCGTTGTATTATTATATCCAAATTATAGATCTTTTTTTGTGACATGTTCAATGTGGGATGTTACTTTTAAGAAAAAAAATCAATATATTTTTTTAATGTACTTTTAGACATTTTGTTTAAGTAGGGGGATTTTTTTTGCAGAATATAGATTTACTGTAAAATGATATGTATCTATCAACAATCTAATGGAACTCTAGTATGAAGCTAATTCGAGACACCGAAACAGACCCTGGAAATAGCCTTATATAGTATCGAGTGGTTGTGGCTGTCTCGAGTCTGTCTCGCTTTTACATCCAGCATTATCCTGGGTTAATCACACCCTGGAGTCGGAATGCCGGGTGGACCAACGTATCATAAGGAGAAAGAGACAATGCATTTGAATAGAATAAAAATAAGAAGAGAGCAAAACAAATCAAGTGCAAATCCAATGACAAAATGGTTTCAATATGTCTAGTAGGGCTCACTTGAGTAGGAATGAAGTGAAGGCAACTTTATTACACCCGAACAGTAACAGAAACCCGATGAGACAGATTTTGTTCTTTGTGCTTTTTGTTCCTTCTGGATCAGAGCAGTGCTGGAGCACTACTGCTCCTGAAATAACCGATTGCAACTGCATTGCATTTTTTTGGGCTGTTCTAAAAAATCTCTGTGTGAGAGCAAACCTTCCCAACTAAAGGTGTAAAGTTCTTCTCGCTTCAGTCATTCCATAGATCAGACCAACTATAGTATTACACCTTTTTAAGTTAAACAAAAAACACAGGCGCTACAGTCTGCATATTACAGTTTTCTATTTCCTTTGCATTAAATATGAATGGTCTATTCTAAAAATAAGACGAGTTTGAGTCTGAGAGAAAGGAAAGCACAAGCGGAATTTAATGCTTTTGCCTACTGAGAATCAATCCATCATTAACCTTTAAGCTCGGCATCGTGGCTATAAACGTTTGTATGCATTTATGGGCCTGCTCATCTGTTATTTGTCAGTGTGAGCTCTGGTTGAAGCAAGGGACAAAATATCTTCACTTTCTAATCTACATTTCTAAAACGTGCAAGTGCTTAAGCCTGGATAACGTAGCCGTGATTATGAATGACTGCTGAAATGTGGGTCGGATGGATGGTGGGTGGTAGTGAGTGTCTGGGTGGGTGGGACCTTGGTTGGTATATACCAGCAGACTTAAGTGATAAGATAGGAAAGGCAAAGAAATAAGAAGAGAGAAGATATGCAATAAAGAAGTAATGTACAGTAATAGTGAGTGTGATTAATTGTTGTTGCATTCATTTCAACAGGTTTTAGTTTTGTTTTGGGTCAACGCTTTCAAAAAAAAAACTTTATACAATGAAATTGGGCTCTAAATCTGAAAGAAATGTAGTACTCCACACAAAATCAACTACAATTTCCTCTTTATCTCCATTTTTTTTTCCTTCTTTATAGAATACTCTTTGCACAATGTCGCATATTTACACAAATGTTCGAAAGGCACAGTAAAGAAACATAAATCAGATGAAAAAAATTCAATGCACAGAAGATTAAAAGGTTATTTCTAGATTGGATCAGTGCATTGGAGGTCATGCTGTTACGCACGAGAGATGCATTGCTGAGATTGGTTGTTACGTTGTTACACGCCTCAATAAAAAACATCAATTAGCAACACTGACAGGATTATTCTTCTATCCTCTGGTGCCCAGATGCAGGCGCTAGGTAAATGATTTGATATTTATCCCTGAGCCCTCCAGATGTTCCTGGATTCGGTACAGTTAGAATTAGGGCTTATAGCAGTTATTACTAAACCACTTTTGGTTTGTAAAAGGTCTTATGATGCACAGTCAGTCAATGCATTAATTATGTCAATAATCATGACTTTTAAAAAAGTAGACAGCATTTCAGTGATGTAAACCTAGAATATAAGTAGGTCGCTGGATGACAGCAAGCCTAAAACCAAACAGTCACAGTTGACTCCAAGGATTCAGGCTTTGTCTTTTGTCAGGATATTAAACAATGTTATTCAAAAGGTTAACTGGAAAACAATGCAATCTGACCCTTTTAACAAAACCAAATCCAAGCTAGAAAATTAAGATGGACGTATGCTTTTTTACTTCCCTTATTAAATGTTAGTAATAACATTTAATAAGGGAAGTTAGTAGCAATTCTTTTTTTTTGTTTTTTTTCTTTCTAAAGTGTGCTGATATTTGCCATGCAAGACTATTGTTTTTTTATGTAACTCACCATCTGTATTAAATCACACAACTAATAGATACATTGAACAGTGAACTGACTACTAAGACTGCCAGAATTGTTTTGCTTTTTATTGGTGCAAGACTTAAAAAGTCAAATGGAGTATAATGTTCGAAGGCTCAGTTGCAAGTTACAATTTTACTGAATAGGAAACAGAATGTAATGTTATTTTATAAATAAAAAAGCATTTTAAGTTGGTCAATTAAAGCCTAATTTGACCAAAATCATACTAGTTAAAAATTTAACAAATTTGACATTCATCATTATATCACAGTTTGCTTACCAGAGGATCAAAATGCACAATTTGCTGATCCAATACCATGACTACAGCAATTTGATAAGAATTTTTACATTTTAATAATCAAATTACTTTCAATCAGGAGAAACATTTAGGAAACATGTTAGAATTTTCTATCACCCTTAACTATACCACTGAGGGGAAACAAAAAAATCCCAGTGGTATTTCATTGGTCTTTATATAGTTTTACATCACCCTTGGAAGTCTATAGCATGCTAACTACTTTCAGCTTGAAGGAAAACCTACACAAAAAAGACCAAAAGACCAATTAGCTCTACCTTGAAACCTCCTGATGTACAAAGAACAGTTTTTTTTTTTTTAAAGCAGTTAAGAACTGACACACAACTGACAAGCTGCATAAATTAAACGCTTTAAAAGCTTAACAATGTTGCTTAATAAGGAAAATTATGACTTTTTAACCAAAGTTGCATTTGAAGTTTTTTTCAATTTTCCTCTAATAGTAACTACAAGGATATAGATGTTTCTCTCCAGGGTTTGCTTTTATGACATTGAAAGCTTGCTTGTCAAGAGTCCAGGACTAACAGGACTATACTGATACTTTTGCAAAGAAAAGTGTTTACTTCATCTTGTATGCATGGATCTGTGAGCCAGCTGTACCAATCTCTTCACTTCACTATGGAGGGACATAGTGATAGTGATATTTCCATCATCTAAAGGGCTGGATTGAGAAAGATAGTGGCTTACTTAGGTAATGGTAATGTGGCCTAAAGTGACTGCCTATTTTTTTTTCTTTTTTCATTGTGGTGATATCCATACATCCATCTTCTCTTGCTTAATCCTTGTCAGGGTCGGAGTGGGGCCGGTGCCTCCCCCCCAGCAGTCTAAGGGCCTGATCTATCAAAGGTTTGCGTGTATAAAAACGCGAGCTGTTTCACTGCGCACGCTAAAAAATGTACAAACTGATCTATCAACAGCGTGCTAAAAGGATTTGGTCTTTAAAACGTGCTAAATAGCGCCTCTTATCCATTTAGTACTTTTTCTGCAATGAATATGCAATATGGGGCGTTTACACGCAAAAGTGCGTCTTGTGGGAGGAGAACATGTAAATATATTAATTTAGCACTCGCAAAGTGATTTATTAAACCTGAAAGCAATTTTGCTAACGGTATCTGACTCTATATTTAACACGTTTCAAAAGAAGGTGCAAATGGTCTGTATGCGTAATTGCGCACACATGGCAACGGTTATTGTCGCAAGAAGGAGGCATCGAAATGAAGCAAGGAGACACAGAGAACGCATTTTTTCACTCCGTGTGAATATTTTTGGAATGAACGAGGAAACGATCATCAAAACATATCGTTTATCCAGCATTGCCATTTTGGAGCTGTTGGGGGAACTCCGAATGGATTTGGAGCCAGCCACAAGGAGGACCCACGCAATACCAGATATCACAAAACTCCTTGCAACATTGCACTTTTTTGCATCTGGGTCATTCCAGCGTACGGTTGCAGCGAGAGCTGGGATCTCCCAATCTCGTTTTTCAGAAGTGCTGTCCGCCGTTCTAAATGCCATGTCGCCCTGACGCCCTACCGGAGAGAACCCCGACCTCCCCCCTGCGCCTGTGGAGCAACATGCCAAATGCTGCGGGGATGCGTACGCGCAGTAATCTCATCCACAGTCACTTCTTGTGAGCCATTTTGTATGTGCATTTTTCTACAGGCCAATACATACCACCTTAGGGAATAAAGGTTGCCAAAGTTTTATAGATACTACTTTGCCGCAAACCACAAAACGCGCAAAACCATCATTTAAATAGGGCGTCTCCAACAGTTTTGCACCTGCCACCAGTTACGCAATCGCTCTTGTTAAATCACCCGCAAACCATGGTTCAGCCCTTCGCGCAAAATTCCAGTTTGCGACCGCAAATTACTGCACGCAAAATTGGATATTGATAAATCCGGCCCTAAGGGCGAGAGGCGGGGTACACCATGAAAAGGTTGCCACTCTGTCACAGGGAAACATAGAGACACACAAAGACACACAGTCATGCACACACAAATTTACACCTAAGTAAATTTTTTAATGAAGCCAATTAACCTAAAAGTCATGTTTTTGGACTGTGGTAGGAAGCTGGGGTACCCAGAGAGAACCCATGCATGCACAAGGAGAACATGCAAACTCCATGCAAAAAGCCCCAGGCCAGAACCTTTTTGGTGCAAGACAATGGTGCTACCCACTGCAATAGTGCTACCCACTGCACCAACATGCAGCCACACGTTGTGGTTACATTGCAAAAGCAATTAGTTACCCAGCTCTACTTTCAACTGACCTTTTCAAGGCAATGGAAGCCTTCCTACGGCAGATGACTGTAACAGTGTTTGGAGTTGCTCCTCTCCCAGGCTCCACAACAACGTCCCACTGTAGAGGATCACTAGGCCGAGCCGCACTGAAGGACATGCCTGATTTTACAGAAGCCCTGTGTAAAAACATTAAAATTCATTATTATCAAACTCTAATAAGACCAATGGGTTGATCACAAGTGACACATTACCTGAGCAATGGACAGAATCAGTGGTAGATTCGTCTGTTATGAAACCTTTGTTATGAAACAATTTTTGAAAGGTGTACATCTAAGTGGTAATGTGTGAGACAACTAGAATACTTATTAGGGACAATATCAGACAGACACAGCAATTTGAGCAGTGCATTTTTTTTTTGACAGAAGCATTTTTCTCTTGAGGCCTGAAACAATGCATTTGACTGGGTTACATTATGAAAAAAGTAAAAATGTATATATATTTAAAAACTTTGTTTCTAAATGTAAAGAAAGCCAAGCTGCAGACATAGTTACAGAGCTGTGCCATTGCCCCCTTATGACCAACTTTTACATTATGCTCTCAAAAGAGAACAGGTAAAAAAAAAAACTGAATAAATTTAATGGAACCTACAGGAAACCCCAGTCACAGCAAAGACTGCAATGCGGTTTATTACTCAGCGAGGCAGTAAAAGATGATTGTCAATGAGTATCTTGGGAAGTTTGCCGTAGTTATTTTCTAATTTGATACAAGCAGGGCCACTGAAAGTAATTTTGAACAGGGGGTGCTGTGAAACTATTTCTTTTTTTTTTTTTAACAAAAGCCCTATGAGCCTATAGGCCTATTTCCCGACTTTATTGTCATATACACTTCACTGCAGGTAACCAGAGTCTGTATCAGACAGACATCATCAGTTCTCAGGTGAATATATGTGCTATTAATTAAACTTCACGAAAACACTATAACAATGTACATTTGGTCAGCTGGCATGAACCTGAGTCACTGTGTTTATGTCAGACGTGACTCTGTTGGCTGGCAGAGTCTCCTCACTCCAGCTGCTCTCTGTTGTCATTGTTGCGGTACTGGTGTTCTTCTTCAATTGTGGTGGTTTTTGCAAAAAATCCGGAAATGCGTTTCTGTCATTAGACCATATAAAGTTACTAGTCTGCTGCCATGAGTGCGATAACTCTTTTCTCTGCGACCACTAGCTTAATTGACGTTGCCATGACAATGTAACTTCTGTCAACTTGTGTTGATTAGGCCTCAAAATAATTAAAGTTAAAATCGAAATACAAGTAAAAGTAAAAAAAAAAAAGGCAAAATACTATGCACAAATTTATAAGTTGTGCAAAGTATTAGTAATAAATTTTTTAGAAATCTCCCTGTCGCCACTAGGGTGTACTTCAGCTACCCCACTTCCGCTGGTATTCCAGCTAAACCGGTGCAGCCACGTTTGTTTTTATTCGACCTTCCGCCTCTGGTTGAAGCATTGACCTGATACACATCACTGCATCACATTGGTCCGAAACATTTCTGTTTCTGCTGGCTACTGGCAAGATGTATTTTTGAGAGATCTCACGACAATTCTTCTTGCTTGCAAGTCAATTAAAAAGTTATACAAGTGTTACAAATGTTTTTCCTCTGAGCAAATCAGGACAGTTTTCTGGTCAGAGAAACTCTTCTGTCTGTCTGACTCTTTCTCTCTGTCTTAGGATTGTCACCTAACTCATGTAGCTGCACAGCAACATTGTTTACATGAGTAAAAATAGAAAATCATGTGTAGCTATAGCTGAATGGCCAAAATGCAAAACAGAATGACAGATGTGTTGAGACGTAAATATTACTAAACAATGGGTAAAACTGATTACAAAGCAGGGAGAAAGTGAAATGACTGCACACTCAAATTTAAGCCCATATACAAAGCTGATAAGATGCATGTGAAAGCCATAAAAACAATAACAGGAGATCACCACTAAGAATTGAGGACATGGTTTTCAAACTCCTAATAAATTCAAATATTTATTCGCTTTATACTCATGAATTTTATTTTTTTGGATGCATAAAAACTTAAGCCTTTAATTTGGGGCCATCTATCTATTCAGCACCTTATAAACTAAAATATAAAAATGATGACAACTAAAGGTAACCTTAATGTTCATATTTAGTTATAAATCCATCAAAATTTCAAATTAGTGGTATATATTTTTATAAATGCAGTAGGACAAGGCCCATATTCTGTTGTTGCTCTTCAAAACAGGATAAAGAATACACGGCATTTGAGAAGTGTAAAAAAAAAAAAAAAGGATCAAATCTCAGTTGTGGATGCCTGCAGAAAAATAAAGACACCAAGTCTGCATAACAACCAGAGACATAGGATACTTTACAGTTGTTTCTTTCAGCCCCACTGAGGCAATTATGTAGTGTATATGGGTTTGTCATGTATGAAAAATTATCAGGATTTAAGAGAAAAACTATGATAAATCATTTAAGCCACAAATTTTTAGATTACATTTTCTTAAAAAAAGATTATGAGTATATTCATGATCATTATTTTCTTTTAGCTGTTTAAAGTGAAACTATATAGTGCCAGTACCACCTGATAACCATGAATCCAGTTGAGCAAAACAGTTTAAAGACTCGTACCAAAAGAAGGGACAAAGCAAATCAGTACGAGGATCATCCTGGATTACAGGGAATCTTGTTCGAAACTCACACAGAAGCTTCCCTGCAGGGAAATCTTGCCTTTGCTTCTCAATCTTTATCAGTGTCAGCTTCTACTGGGACTTTCTTAACACAGGTTGGAAACAAGAAAGCACCCCGTCTATTTAACTCCTCCCTCTGTTTTTACTAAGATCTCTTCACAGTTTTCTGTTTCAAATCCTACACCTACAGCTGTTTTTTTTTTTTTTTTTTTTTTTTTTGTACATGTGCTGCCAATAGCCAGGAAATGTATGTTGTTGTTGTTTTTTTTCTCCTGGTTTCTCCTGGTTTCATGTAAATCTGATGGTTAGAAATGGTGTGTGTGTCTAACTCACTGATGTACACAGTTAATCCTGGCAGGCAGCCCAGATCATCTTTACTCTAAAGGGTTAACCTCTTCCTTGCTTTTCAATCAGGGCCACAGATTATCTGGCCTAACCATGCTGGAGTGGACTCAATCTTGGCCCAAAGAGTGAAGTAAAGCAGGGATTTCTCGCTGGAGGAATCAATCATTCTGCCAAGCTTCTCAGAGCGAGCCTTCACTTGGACTTAGAGCTCAGCAGTCTTGTCTTGTCCCGCTGCATGCTGCATGTGGCCGCACGCCAGAAACACACAGACTGAAATTACTGACCCAACTGGACGATTTCCAGCGTTTCGGTTAGTAAATACAAATTTGGAGATTTCAGGTGAAGAGACCACAAATCCTTTCAAATAGTCAATGCAGCAGCAGATGTTGAATCCTCAGCATCTACCGACAGATTCTCATTCAATTATTTTCAAGAAGACTGACAGAGCTGCATTCAGGTCACTCAGCCTACATGTGTGCGATTAATGTTTGTTTTTGCCAGAGGAACAGAATATTTAAGAAAGACTTTAGAAAAGCTTTTTTTTTTGTCATAGGTTTAAGCATGGGAATTCTGCATTATTACCCGTTTGGCTGAATCATTTAGGAGATTACTGTGTTGTATCCAGACTGAAGCATGATATCACTAAACTGTAGGATTACAGAGGAAATTACTTTGCTTTTCAGACAAAACAATTAGGGTGAGTAGAGACAGCAAACCAAATGCTTGGTCTACAGGCTTCCTCTAAAAACTTTGGAGTGTAACATTATAACAACAAGAGAACACAAACATAAACACTATAATTTGGTAAAACAAATAAATAGAAAAAATGTGGAAGTTTAGGGAATCTGAATGGGAATATTACCAAACTGTTTTTTAAGTAAAAGGTCTAAATAGGAATGCGTTTAACACTATTACTTCTCAATGTAAACTGAAAAAGTGATCATCTATTAAGTTGAAATAATAATAAAATGATAAAGAATTTACAAAAAAATAACCTCACCATATAATAACGTTGAATGTAGCTAGGAGGAGCATTTTCTGCATGGACAAGTGACGTGTTTTCAAATAAACATATATTTGTTTCGTTTTTAAGTTTGATGCTTTGTTTATTTTAATCAATCACATATAGCTCAGTGCTTTGTTCAGACAATATTTTTCTCACAGTTTTGTTTAGAGAAAGCCCTGCAAGCTGGATTTGATTCTGTGATGAAAAAGTGACAAAATTGTTAAGATGTATTTTTTTAAAAAGCCCTAAAATTAAGTTTAGGACCACATAATAAATGCATAAAAAAGTAGCACTGTTATAGTTCTACAATAACAGAGTAAAGTAGAACATTGTTCACAGTGTTCCCAACATAATTTGGCAGGAAGCAATAACTACAGTACCATAAGGACTTGCACAAATGTATTAATGCTAAAAGAAATGTGCTCTGAGAATAAATCCATGCATAGTGATTACTGCAAACTTACTGCCCCATGGAAAAGTACAAACAGCACACTTTAAGGCAGATTGTTCAAGTACATGTATTTAATGCCAATGAATGCAACATATTATTTTTCCACTTTTGGCACCTTTACGTAATGGAAAGTCTCTAATACAAATATATATTATATTCATTCATATCCATTATTTGCATTATCAAAAGAGACATGTCAACAAAGCAGAGCAGTTAAAATATGGATACAACAACAATCAAGTGCAGCAGATAACATGGGCCTATGATTCTTTTTTTATTAGTGTACCTCTAGCAGACTCATTAAAGTTTATCATCCAATCCTTGTAATTTGATTTAGATTATGTTTAATTTTCGTGTTGTTTTTATACACAAATCTCCTTCAGGTATTTAAATATATCTGCAGTTCAGAACCCCCTAGTGCAAATTATTGCTTGAGAAACAAATTTATTCTTGGTTGGTTTTGGCATGTTTCTATAGCCTGTAGACTCCCCTGAGATGACCTGGGGCCCCCTCTGGTCCCACAAAAATAAAAGTCTAGCTCTGGTACTATGAGGGAGCCCCCAGGAGATAGTACCTTTAAAGTACTTTAAAGTAATCGAATCAAAGAAAAAGCACTATAGATTTTTTTTTTTTTTTTAATTAACCATGTTCAGTGTTCACTTCCAGACTGGATTGTAAAATGTCAGCATTCTGCCCCTACAGTATGGTGCCTCTCGATATTTAAAAAGGTTTCATAGAAAGTTGTCACAATGTCCCAAAAGAGTGAATACACTTAGCTTCATAGAGTGCTATTTCCTTTACTCATATTTTTATTTCATCCATTTAAAAAAATGTCAAATCTGTCTAAACTAATATCATCAATAAATATAAATCATTTTCTCATCAAATTCTGCTATGTAATTGTATTGGTAAATTAAGCTTAGGGGGAAGTTTAACTGAAGAAAATAAATTACTTGCCCTCATCATCAGAGGCTCATCTGCTTCTGACACAAACCAATCAGCTTTGTACCACAGCTTCACGAAGCCCAATCAGCATCCAGAGTTCATCTTAAAAGGTCTCCAGGTCCAGGACTCAGTCTGCTGCCCAGCCGAGGGCAAGCAGAGGTTTTTTTTTTAGTTTAAACTTCTTTGAGCAACAATACAAGCAAGATTTACATTGAGATGTTAAGACATTTTAGTAGTGTTCAAAAGGAGTAGGTAGAAGTCTAAGAACTTGTAAGAACCTACCCCCAAGTTAAGGTTGCGCTAGGTCTGATTTAGACTCAGATGATCGAGATTCAACCCCCCTCCATCCCCCACTCCACCATTGTAGCTATAGTAAGTTCCATCTGGCTTTTCTATGGTGCTTCTTCAACCTTGTCCCTATTATAGTGGAAGTCCTCCCGGACTCTTGCTGCGTTCCCCGTCACATCTCAACCCGTCCAGCATAAGACCGCCATATTGAGCCTGGTTCTGCCAGAGGTTTCTTCCTAAAGGGGAGTTTTTCCTCTCCACTGTCGCTTCATGCTTGCTCATCATGAACCGGTTCCTGCAAACCTGTGTTCATCCAAGCTGGACATCTAGCTTCAGGGTCCCGAGTGAAGCTCTAGTATCAGCTCACACAGTCTACCGAATCTCACCAATTCAGTCTAAGCAGATCGTCTCGCCAGCCAGCAGTCTTTGGACTGAACAGACTTCATATATCTCCACTCCACCACCAGTTTCAGGCCTGAGATTGAAACATGCCTGTTCTCATACACCTGCTTGTGCATATTAAAGTAAAATTCAGCGCTAATGTTTCCTGCTGAGGTCTGAGCACCAAATAATAGTATCAATAAAATTCGTCTGATTATCTTTTTCTTTCCGTGTGAGTTTTTGACCTTAAAATGATAATTGTGACTGAGCTAAATGGGGATAAGACTTCAACTGATCAACTTACAAATGTACAGCTTGAACAGATTATGTTACAACGCTAAAATTAATTTTCTTATAATGTGATAGCAATGTGTTAGGGAAAATTTTATTTAGATTATTTTATTGACTGAATGCATATTTTGTTGAAGCCAATTAGTGCAGTTGTTAATCTTTACAAATGGCGTTTTGTTTATAATGTATAATGTTTGCAACAATCCTAGACTTTGAAATAAATTCCAAATCATTGAAGCTTATATATATATATATATATATACACACACATATATGTGTGATATTTTAATAAACAGCTTTTAAGTCTACACAGTCAGGTGATGTACATCTTAGAAACAGCAAAGAAAAAGTTTAGAACAAATTGAACTGTGTGCTTTTCCTTGGTGACAGTGTTGCTTTTATATTAAGCTCAGTTCAACCCAGAGGATTTAAGGAGATTAGTTATTTGTGTGCTGCTCCATTAAACAGATGCATTATTTATGAAGTCAAATTACCAAAAAACATTGTTGAAAAGTTTGTGGGATGTTGAGATAAGAAAACCAGTGAATCATTTGCCAATTATTTCCCTGTTTATGGAAGAGTGGTCTTCATAACTCCCCCACTAAGTGTGATGCTTCAGAAGCAAGGATATGTCTGACAATTTATGCAGCCAGTAACTGGCAGTCAACGCAAGTCACTCTGCCGTTCATGCATATTAGCACATGGCCTTGACGGTAGGGCCTCATCAGTATTTAAGTGCCTTAAGTAATCGTTTAAATGCATGGAGCTTATTTCTCCTGAATATGCTTATATGTAGTATAGATCCCACTTACACTTGCTTTGTCTCTTATATGTTATGTATTTCATAAACAATCATTTTTTTCCCCGTGTAATTCCCCCTAAGCTCTTGTCTCTGTAAGACTGGATTTACAGAACAGTGATTATTATGATTTCGATGAATGATATTTACCACTTGTTAGAAAGAAAGGCCAGATCTTTCCATATTTAGCCTCATCAAAGCTCTCAACTATCACTGTGCGCTTTATGTAGCTTTAAATGAAAAGTAAATAAATGTCCCATTTAATGATCTCCTGTAAGTGACACTGAAAGCTGGAATCTGCACATTAAATTTGATTGTTAAGCACTACATAACGACTTCACTTCAAGAGCCCTGGACTTGATCTTACAGCTGGAATGACAGAATTAAAACTTTTTCATAATAAGGGACATTCTATTACAATTCTGATACAGAAATACCATAACATTACTTGCAATTTTCAAATAACAGGAACAGAGGTCTAATATCTGTTTAACTTTGAAGATTAATTTAACAAAAAGGTAAAATATAACTTCCATGTTTACATTAAGTGGCACAGAGAACAGTCTGAACATCTGTTCAGGAATACATTCAGCACCAGTATATTAGGACTTGTCTGATGTGCTACTCTGCACTGTGAAAAAACAAACAACTTTAGATTGATCATATTTAAAATTGCTGTCACACTTATGATGTCAGTTTGAACAGAAATGGGTGTTCAAAAGTTTGAGAAAGAAGTTGAATGAGCCATGATTTTCCGTGAACAATATTCGTTGTCTATTCTGTAAGTTAAACTAAATCAAATTTCCCTTAATTCCCGATGCTGGTTTTAGAGTTTTGTGACCCATATTCAAAGGAGAAATAGTCCTTACTGTATGTGAAAACTGTGTCAGACGCAGATGGCAACTGCCAGTCTTTTAAAGAAGAAGCCACTCCTCATAACTTTGGAATACTGAGCTGGAAAGTTTGGCTTCATTGCAAAAAAAAAAAGCACCCTGGAAGTGTGGAAAGAATACAGTGATTTTTTTTTAATCGACTTACTGTATCATGCATTTTTAAGTAAAGCTTGGAATTTACACAAATCATCTAGTTTAACTCCAAAAGACTAACGCCTAAAAAGTCCAGAAGTTCCACAAATGTATCTTATTATCCCCGTGCCATCTTGTTTTCGAAAGCAAACTGTCAAGTGGTGGTCTTTAAACTAAGTTCTTAAAGTGACATCTTAGAATTAATTTAAGAATAATAATGGAGTCTTGTTAAAGGAAACAAAAACATAATTTACCTCAAGCACCTCTTAATCAGCTTGGTCGCTTTATAACAGCACATATCACAGATCAATCGATAAAACCTTTTATTAGAGATTTCAGACTCATACAACTTCAACCATTATAGGACACCATCAGGCAACTTTCATTCAAATGTGCCCATAAGCTGGAAACAAACAAGCTCTTTAATAACCAGCTTTGTTTTAGGAGGAGAGTTACTGAAGAAGTTCATGTGGGCGCCGCACAGTGGCAGCCCACTGTTAAATGCAGAGAGTTAATTTCGTTGCTCTGTACTTGTGACATCGTAATGACAATAAAAAAGCTGAAAAAAATATAAATAAATAAAAAAATAAAATTGCCAAAAAAAAGGGTGGCTTTAGGTGTCTCGCCTAAATTTGACATTCTGGCTTTGAATCTCTGTAGGAATGATTACCACTCTCTTCAAAAGTTTTCCTATACCATATGCCGGAGGTCTTCAACAGGGGGTCTGTAACACCTAGGGGGTACACGGAGGTGCTGCATGGGGTCCCAAAAGTTTTGGTTGATTAGACTTTTTTTTATATTCCCCCCTGACGTTTTTCCCACAAGTTGAAATGTCTTTAAATCCAAATTAACATAATTTCAACACACTGTAGTAAATAGATAAATGGAGGTAGAAGATGTCTTTCAGTCATCAATGCACATATTCAGCGACACATAGGAGCTCTTTCAAGCTGGGCACATGCACATGCACAACACTTGTCCCATCAACCAGGAATCAGAAATACTTTAATAATCGCAGGGAGAAATTACTTACGTTACATGACTCCATCTGTAATAGAGTGACTATAGGACCGTTTTGATATAACACAATTTCATACAATATATATAATTAAGGGGTCCCCGCTCCATCCCGCCATCAGTTTGGGGGTCCTTGGCCTGGAAAATGTTGAAAACCCCTGCCTGATGCCATAAGTGCCCAGTTTGGCAAATACATCTTTGATTTGATGAAAGGCTTGCAACAATGAAAACCAAAGAAGATTTCTTACCTCAAAGTGAAATTTTCCATCGTAGATGTACTAGCCAGGAATATGTAAAAAGTTCCCACATCATCGTTTTTTAGGGGCTTGGAAGAAGTTTGAATCATCAAAGAACCTCCCAGCCTAAGCCGAAGGAAAGTCGGGTTGCCTGTTTGAGATTTGATAAGAGTGACACTTCCAATCCTCTGCAAAGGGGTCCCCGACCCCCAAGACTCTCTCCCTCTTCCTACTCCTACTCTTTGCAGACTGTCTTGTGGAGCACATTGCCCCGTCTGGTCCCTCCTGCTCTGAAAGTAGACCTCCACAAGATTTCCTCGAAGGTTTCTGATTCCTTCCGCTTTATCTGCTTCCGGGCTTGAGCTTCCAGATCTGCCTCCAGATCCAAACCAAGATGGTTCTGGCTTGAGCTGAGCCACACAGAATCCACCAGGAGAAATTAGGCATGATCCTCTGACTTCCTTCATCTCCCAGAAGGCATAAGCTGTCACGCAGTGAGCTTCATCATTGAGCTTAGCCTCATTATTTCTGTTGGAGTCCATTTTATCTTGCTTGGAAGTTAAATTGCTTTCTGTGGGCATGTGGAAAAGAATCTTGATGAACGGGGAAGGAGATCGAATCTGACGAACTAAAATCACTGCAAGAATTTTGCGTCCACTAAGAAGCAGGTCTGATGGAATAGTGGCATCAACAGCTAGGGGGCCATACGAAGCCTTGATAGCTGGCTGGAGGATCAGGGCTCCTGGATTGGTAATAAGAAATGCCTTAGCCTGAACTTTGAGGCTTGAGTTGGTTGATGTTCCTTGACTACTTTGTGCAAGAAACACATGGTCTGCATTGAAGATTTGAAAATTGATGGATGGATAAATAGGTAAAGGAGCAGGAAATACTCCAGCATCTTCAAATCTCTGGCTTCTTCCAGCTGAAATGAAAGAAGATTATTTAGAAATAAAGGCATTTACAGTATGTGAACAAAAGTTCTTGTTATCGAATCTATTCAGAAAAGTTCACGGTCAAAAAAGCAAAACTTTAAAACCCCAACAGACAAAGTACTTTGTATAGGACTCAAACATATCACACAGTGTAACCCTGTTTTAGCTTTTCTTATTAGAGTCTGAGTTCATCTAAACTAAGATTGGGATAAGGAACAGGAAATACACATGTCAGTCTCAACAGCAGTCAAAGTGCAAAGTTCCCCCCCTAAAATGTCTCCATAGTTTTCTACAGAAGTTATTGAATTTAATATATTGAATGATCCAAGATCCAAGCTCAATTTTCTTTTTTTACAGTTATTAGTTTTAAACGGGCTAAGAAGGTTTGGGGATGAACAGAGCCCTGGCATTTGAAACAATCTAAATAACTATATTTCAATTGGAGTATCCAAAATTCAGCTGGAAAAAATGGCAAGCTTTATTTAGTTGTAATATCTGGAGGGTATTATTACAAACAAATCAGTTTTGACATCTTTTTTTCAAAAGCTAGAAAAGGAGATTTACATCCCCACCAAGACACAAATAACAGAATTTTACAGCATTGACAAAAAAATAAACAATGCAGGGGTTCTAAATTAATTTATGCATCCTAAACTTCACTCTTGTACAATTGAAATATCTTAATAATGATCACATGCAAAGTCTTGATTAATGTTCTATACTAGAATTAAGGCTACACTGATTTATAAACTGAAAGCTGAATTTTTCTGTTCCTGTGACCCTTAATCGTGTTAAAGAAAAGCAAACTTATTTAGAGTGCGGAAAAGCCACATTTTTTGTGTGTGTGAGTGCTGTTTGTGTCTCTTTTAATGCTGCTATCGATTCAACATCTGCCATCCTTCACGCAAAGGGGGCAAATAGTTGAATCAAACATTACACAAACCTTCTTTATCGCAAAGATGTTTTTATCTCCTTTCCTGGATTTTAATCATGGTTTCAAGGAGGTGCATATAAAGTGAAAAGTATTCTCTCTAATGGTAAAAAAAAATTCCAAACATATGTCAATATGTGTGCACTTATTAACTTACAGCGACGAACAGTAAAAGGAAAGGTAATGTCAGAATTTTATTTATTTATTTATTTTTTTTCAGTGGAAAAGTTTAAACTCTGTTTTTAGGCATTTGAGGAATATTCCTTGCTGCCAGATGTTTGTGCTGTCTACTTTAGTTAAAATACCGTCTGGTCCCTCATTATTCCACCCCAAAAAGCATGAGATTTGTGTTTCAGTTTATTGGTTTGTAAACCCAGCTGCTTAAATAAATAAACTCATAACTTATTACATGCTTACAGCATTTTCAACTCTAGATTACAGAATGAAGCCAACAAAGAATATTCTGATTGTTAGGATCTGTTTATCCTTTTATTTGTAACTTTAAATGCTGATCATCCTGACAAACAATGCTGCGGATCAATAGATGCACAATGTATTGATCTAATAACTAGTGAGCCTCACAGTAGTTGGGATACATGGAGTTATTGAATTTAAGGGGATATATAGGGCTGAACCGTGTTACTTTGTCAAAAAGTAAGAAAACAGTTTAGACCACATGTAGTAAAAATACATGTCTAAAAGTGTGTGCACATATCATGCATTATAAGTCTCAGATATTAGTCTTTTTACACGACATAACAGCATCACTACATGGAGTCTCCCAGCTCATTGCACGCTCATAGCAGGTTATCTTTAAACAAGCAATGAAACAGCTGTGTAACCTCAGCTCCAGGCCCCTTTAATCCCACAGACGAAGCCTTACGACAGACGCTGGAGAGCCTGCTGTCACTTTTTTTTTTGGCAGAGGGATAATAAAATGGGATGAGGCCACAGGTTTCTAACCACAAACAAGATACGATAAGGAATTTATAACCTGGTAGTTGCATAAATCATTAAAATTAATACAAATCTAAGATCTTATGCAAAAATCTTTTGAATGATAAAAGAAAGTCTACATGAAAACTCACATCTGCTCCTTGTCTTTAATTGCTACCATTTAGAAAACAGATAATTGTAATAATATTTCTTTACATTTACAATTGTTTTAAAGACACCCTATGTTTTTTTTTTTTCAATAAGTGGAGCTTTTCATCATAGGTTAGCGTTAGGATAAGTAGATCTCCTAAAACAAGTAAAAACAACATAGGATTTTGTTTAATTTCACTAACGTCTCACCTTTAATTGCTGTAAAAACTGCCACAACTGGAAACAATGACCGGATGGAAAAGTTGAATGTCATTTTTAAAAAGTTGCAAGAGCTCCCATGCACAGTTAAAAGAAAGCGCAGGAAAGAAGTCATAACATTCCTTGCTGTCCAGTACGGTCACTCCCTCTTATTGCAGAGGATGAAACAAAAAGGGAGAGAAAAATTCACTTTTATATCCACCAAAATCTGGTCCCTGACACACGTGGAACAGTTTTAAATGCTGTGTCTGGATTCTTGTTCTTCCTTTGGGAGTGTGGGAGATGACTGATACAACAGGGCAGCATCAGAGACGACTTTTCATGATAGAAATTCAGTAAACAGTCGGTCAGATTAAGCACACCCACGTGGGTTTAATCTGCCGGTGTATGAGAGGGAGTGTTGGAGGGGTGGGGTTGAGGGACTTGAACAAATGAATTCCGCACAAGGTCAACGGATTTGTGGTTTCTCTATGACTGCTGATTTTAAAAATAAGTATTAAGAAAAAGTCCTTTTATTTTTACAACTCACATGTTTTACAAATAATTCTTCACATCCATCCCATCATAGAGTTCTGAGAGGCTAAATTTGAAAAACTGAGGAGTCATTTTGGAAATATTCCTTTTCAGTACAGTTCTATCACTAGTCTGGCCGACTTGACCCAGATTTCCAAATTGTTGAATTCTATATAGTATTGGGACCTGTTTGAACCTTTTTCACATTCTCAGAAATTTCCACCATATAATTCAGCTCATTATATTGTGATTTTTATAAGATTGTCAAACTCAAAGAAGTGGACCTTTTGGCAGGGAAAGGAAAATGGTTCATGGTGATTTTGCCTTGAGAAATTGTTAATATGCACTTAATAAAACAACATATTTCATCTGCTCACATCTTGGTTCTGGAAGTGTCAGTTCCTGAAAAGAGGGACGGTTTCAACCAATCACACTCTTTTGCAGAAGAAATTATACACTACAGCCTGCCCTTCTTCAATTTAGTGAAAGCAGCATACCTGATGTTGAGCAGAGGAGGAGAGGATGAACTCAATGATGGCAAAGTAGAAATGCATTATCACTGTCTTTGGTAGACTAAATGTCTTCAGCTACCAAAGGTACAACATCATCTGCCGTGACTTCTTGGTGAGGGAGATGACTTTCATTTCACTCTTGAGGTCCTGAGCGATGATGACAGTGGAGACTGGAGTGTCAGACAGGATAATGGGGGAGGGTGGGGCTGCACTCTATCTATAGTCCACTATCATCTCCATTGTTTTCAGACAGAGATCCAGACTGTTTTGGCTGCACCAGGTCACCAGATGATCAATTTCCCACATGAAGGCAGACTTTGTCAAGCTCACTTCTGGATTTTGATGAACTGTTGACTGGAGGTGCAGTGTTAAATACTGGGAAAAGATCATAGGGGAAATATCACAGACTTGATGGGAAGTTCTACTAAGCTTCCTTGAATTAATTCCAACAAACGTAAAAAATCAATCCACTGGACTTTGTTTCCAAGTTTTAAGATGTTTTGCTTCCAATACAGGAACCTTTTTTCAATTTAAAATGTCAGAATTAGCAGCTGTAAATACTGCAAAAATTATCTCAACTTCATTCATTACATTTAAGATTAAGATTCTTTTCTTCAATCTAATTCAAGTTCTTACATTGTACGGGAAAGCCACCTTCTGCTTTCTATTGCAAAACAGTGAGCTTGAGAAGGTTCAAATTTGAAAGCTGTAGGTCTTGTGAGAGCTTGAATTCCTGCTCTTTTCCCCCATGCAGAAATCTCAGACAACGTCCACTGAAACAATACGAAGCTAATGTTTGCATTTCAGCCTGGACATATTGCTGCTGAGTCCTTTTCAATTCAACTCGTCTTTTTCAAGGTTTGATTTTCCATCAGAGATTAAACATGGAATAAACCTCAACCAAAACACAACCAATCTTACCCTAAATCAAGATTGAATTACCATCCTTGCTATCTGGGGTGTTATCTGTGCATCCTTGTTATCTGTGCAAAGCTAGCAGAGATAGTTTGCACAGAGAAGTTTTCATAAAGGTTTTATCTGTCTGTCCTTCTAATGGTTTGCTGCTGTCTTTTGTGTAGACAGCTGATTCTATACACAGTCCCTATGATTCAGTTTAATAAATGTGGATTCCAGCCACTTTTGTTCTGCACATTGATCTCAGATTTGCACTACTCTAAGGAGTGTCCTATTTAATAAGCCTGGTATGACTTTTTCACATCTCTCCACTCGCCAACATCTCCCCCTGAGCACCCGTTCTCTGAACAAACTACTCGCATTATGTGCCAATTAAACCCCGTGAACCCAGTGCCTGTTTCATTACAAGGTGGCAAAAGTCCCAGGGTGTCATCATTAAGGAAGCACACATACATGGTGTGTAAACACTTTCCCACTTGACTGCAGAGGTTAATTAGAATAAATATGTGACTTAGGCAAGACATTAGGTGATCTCTAAATGCTCATAAAGGTTTGAGAAACTTACAGGCATTCCTAAGAAGAGTTAAATAGGATTTTACCACATAGATAGTACTTACAGTGCCAGAATATTACATTAGTGTACAAAATATCATATTTTGAAGCCTTTGAGTTTTAGTTGAAGTATTTTGTCCATGTTTTTTGGCTTTAAGTTACAATTAAAGGTAACAGTGGCAGAGGCCAGTGACAACTGAGTCTGGGAATGTCTCCAGATATCAGTTGTTGTTCAGATGAGCAACCTGCTGCTGGTGCTATTAGAGATGACATACCAGCGTTAAGACTCACTTTGTTTGGCTGCAGTGATGAATGTAAAGCTGCTGCCAGGTTGTTCAGAAGATATTAGAGGTCATTTAAAATGGAGAGACAAAAATAGACACCTAAAATCCTCTAAATATTTATGAATTTAGATAGAAAGCTGTGACTTAACAATCACTTAGAACTGGTTAACAAATGACCTAAGTGGCTACTGGTAGAAGCCAAAACTCTGTGAGGGATTTGGTGAATACACATTAGAAATTCACGTTGCAAATGTGCAGTGGTTTATTCATAGCTGCTTAAGCTATGCAACTAATGCAAATTGTATTAATGGAATTAATTTAAGAGTACTTTACTTTATTCTGGAAGACCTTTCATATTCATTGATAGGAATAATAAAGTAGCCTGCAATAGATTTCAAGTGAATAACCTTTTACATTTACAATTGGATACTGTAAGAAATATTAAAACCTGACTGATGCATAAAAAAGTTAAAGAAACAGTTAATCAAGGGCTGTACAAACTGTGTCTTACCTATATTACAGCTCTTGCCCTCCCAAAAAAAACAGCCGTCATTTACACATTAGTTTTTACGGTAAATCTGCTCGGTCCATCGTAGTCTTGATTTAGTCCAGAAATAGTTGCTGAGAATTGGGCTTTATTTGGTCGGTCTGATTTTGTCCCACTTTAGTCCAGCAATAGACATTGGAAAGAAGTTGCGAACCCAGTCTTCTAAGTATTTCAACAATCTGAAAATTACAGCTTTAACTATTCAACCAAATGTAGACGAAGTTTAGACATAAATCATGTCATCTTTTTTTATGTCTTTACAACCAATTTTTGCTTGCCAGGTGGCATCTGTCATTGGATGAGAATATGGGTGCTAGCTACTAGTTTATAACAAGGCTATTTTATAAAACCTAATCCAGCCGAAGGAGCAGTTGGATAACCGTTTAAAGAAAACCAAACAAAACCATTCCTTCTTTGTATAATAATAACTATATTTATAAAGCATTATAAAGAATGTATAAATAGTTTGAACAATCAGTTCCGAACTATTGTCATCTCAAGGCAGTTTGTAAGACAAGGCACTATTTGTATGCAGATAGAATTCAGCATGGTTCTCAATTTAATTAAAATATCATTTATTCCAACACCTTACAATCATACAGTCTGGTTTGGATACAATCCCACTTGGTGCAATGTTATAAAAATCAGCAGATTTCATAGCAGCTGTTTAATGGGGGAATGATAGTCTAATGGTTAGAGAGCACTGCATTGATGCCCTGCAAGGTCGCTGGTTAGAAGCACAGATTGTCGGTCCATAAGCAAATTTGTTAACCACAAAACACTCCTAACTACAAAATGTGTGGCAGCCCAAAGGATAGGTTAAACACAGATGACACATTTCCTCCCTATGGGAATATCCAGGGATTTTTTCTTTTTTCTTTACCTGTTTTATCAAGGGAACCATACAGCTGCATTAAGTCTCTCTACTTTTGAGTAACCCTTCACCTTAAACAAGTTTTTGGTGAAAGTGGAGAGGGACAATTACCATTTAAAGGAAATAACCCTTGACACATCCAGATTCAGTATGTGAGCCATCTACTATGGCTGGCCGAGGTTGAGGTAAAAGAGATCATTACCAGCAAACCATAGAAATGTTGGTTTCTGTGGATACTGAAGTGGTTTCTATGGGAACCAAAACTTTAAAAGTAATGGTGCGGAAAAAAAACTCAACAAAACACAAAATAATCTAGATAATCTTTCTAAGAGGAAACTATTAATAACATTTTAATATCACTGCTATGATGAAACCTTCAATAAAAAGGCATAATTGAAGTGTAACATACAGTAAAACAAAAAATAAATAAACACAATAAAAGGACAGAAAAAGCAATAAAAATATACAACTAAATATCAGGGCAGAACACAGATGCCAATATTAATGTGTTAGAAAGTTTAGGATAGAAGGTGTAATCTGACCTTCTGAACGTTATACCTGAAGATTGACATCCACATGAACCATTAGTGTTCTCTGTAGCCTTTATGTTCTCTAAAGTCATCCTGTGATTAGTATATCTATTAACCTTCAATGACAGTAATCCAGCTCAGTGATGGATTGTGAACTACAGCAATATTCCATCTTAATAATTCTTTAATACCTCTTATTACTGCCCATCAGCTAGATGGCGATAAATTAATTTCCATCAATCCATCAAGAAAAAATGGGGCCCATATCATCCTGTTGATGGTGATGCATGCAAATAGCAGGGAGCATTACAGCAGAGTAATTACCGAA